AAGCACAGACACTTCATACATCCAACAGACCACATTGAAATGTCATCATCTGTATAGTATTAGCATTCCATTTTCAGACCCTGTTTTCTGTAGAGACAGAGATAGGTATATCTATCTGTGTCTACATATTAGATGTCATAGATATATATATATATATATTTCTACATATATATATTTTTGTTGATAAGAATCTTTTGAGTTCTATGCAATGAGGCAATCATATTTATATTATTTAAAAATATATATATTTAACCTGAGTTCAACATTTACTATTAGTAGTATTACAGTTTCTTCCTTTTTCTTAATTTTGTTTCATCTACACAAATATTCAGTTGTATCTTAGTGTTTATTCCCCCTGATTTATCTCAGAATGTCTTCCTGTTTGAGCTACGCATTACTCGCAACTAAAATGTATCTAATAATATCGATAATAAGTTTTATTGAACAGACAGCACATTCTAGACACTAGTCTAAGAAACTGTGTGAATGATGTAATCTTTAAAACTTGTGCCCTTTCTATTATTACAGAGCAAATGGGGGAAACGGATACAAAAATAATTTAAGTGCCTGTGGTCACAGGATTTGGTAGTGGAGAAAGGATCAAACCCAAGGAAATTATGGCTCCAGAGCTCTCTTTTTACTGCAACATTGTATATCTTCAGCTTAGACATTTTTTCACTTTTATTTGGAATTTATCAGGAAGACACCTGTGGTCAGTGTGAATTTTAGCCTGTGTAGGTGACTGTGTTTTCCTTTTCTTGTGTTTTGTTTGCATGCTACTGTGTTTTTATTAGATGCTGCCAGATGCTTTTACTTCAAATCACTTTCCCAGACATACACAAGTGTATTTATTAACGAAATGAAACATCCATATACAGAGTCTGTTTGTTCCTTTCCTAAGTTTCCTTTTCAATTTTTATTAATAATTGTCTCCTATTTGTGAAATCACTCTTTTTTAAAATATTATTTATATTTTGCTTTTGTAGTTCCAATACTCCATGTATGTATGTCTTTCTTTCTTTCTCTCTCTCTCTTTCTTTTTTTCTTTCTTGATGGAGTCTTGCTTTGTTGCACAAGTTGGAGTTATATGGCGCAATCTCAGCTTACTGCAACCTCTGCCTCCCTGGTCCAAGCAATTCTCCCTTCTCAGCCTCCCGAGTAGCTGGGATTACAGGCGCCCACCATCATGCCTGGCTAATTTTTGTAGAGACAGGGTTTCACCATGCTGGCCAGGCTTGTCTTGAACTCCTAACCTCAGGTGATCCACCCACTTCGGCCTCCCAAAGTGCTGGGATTACAGGCGTGAGTCACTGCGCCCAGCACATGTCTATCTTTCTTGTAATTTAATATCTGCCTTTCTGCATCCCCGGAGAGCTACTAAAGTTTTATCCTCTACAACCCTAATACAATTTTATGTCTTCAGCTCTCTTATTTGCAGTCTTTCTTATAACTTCTCATCCTGGAACTGTTTTTAATTGTCACGGATAAAGCACTGCACTAACCTGAGTGTGTTCACCCTCTCCTGAAGTGTTTCATAATGTTGTCATCTTTTTCTGCTCCCATTGACATTGCAGGAAGCTCCTTCTAATTCATCAGGTCATCACGAGGAGCTCATTAGATGAGATTCTACCCACTAGATGGAGGATCTGCATTTTGGATGGATAGTGGGCAGAATAAATCTTCAGCCCCTTTTCCCCTCACCACCTAATCCACTCAGCCTCTTCTAAACTGGTAAGCAAAACTGTGCAGTTGTGTTTGAAGTTTTGTTGAAAGAGAAGGAAAAACTTAGAAAGGAAAAGTTTCGATTTCTTCTTAGCTTGCAATTTTCCTTGTGTCTGTGTATTTCTCACTTTCCTAAATGAAGTCTCCTGTTCACTGTGCTGAGAACACTCCTTCAAGAACCTCCTTTGTTGGTCTACTTGCAAAACTCTATTCTTGTTCTCCACAACTTCTTGGCTAGGGGAGGGTAAGAATGGGGAAAGCAGAGAAGCAGACCCTGCTGCAGAGAAAATCTGGCACAGAGACGCACAGTCAATCCTTTCTCTGTGTGGTTCACACCCTGAGAGACCTTGTACATGTGCTGGCCAAAACTGAAGATGCTTTTCTCTACCGAGGAGTCACCCGGGTTCATCTTTTCCTGTTACCCAAGATTTTTAATTTTCGTTGTAGATAAAAAGTTGAGTCGTTGCTGTGGTTTTGTGAGCATGTACTCAGAAGTTGAAACAGGCCTCCCTGGACAGTGTGTAGACACTTGCAAACTATTTTTTAGGCCCTAGTTGTTCGTGTAATGCTGTTACCTAACATATTGATCCTCACTGTTTAATCTGAGAGTGAACTTAGGAAATGACAGTCTTCTTCCTGGAATGAGTTTTCCCAGAAACTAGTCTTTTACAAGTCCATATCTCTTTGCTAAAAGATTCCTCTAATGGCAATTATTCGCACGATCAGGAAGAATGCTCTGAGATTTTATTATTTTAAATAATTCAGAAGACAGTGCACAAGCCTGGAACTCTGCCTAGTGTACAACAGGCGACACGTGCTTTTCAGAGTGCGCCCCCTAGTGTTCACAGGCGACATGTGCTTTTCAGAGTGCGCCCCCTAGTGTTCACAGACGACATGTGCTTTTCAGAGTGTGTCCCCTAGTGTTCAAAAGGCAACACGTGCTTTTTAAAGTGCGCCCCCTAGTGTTCAAAAGGCAACACGTGCTTTTCAGAGTGCGCCCCCTAGTGTTCAAAAGGCGACACGTGCTTTTTAAAGTGCGCCCCCTAGTGTTCAAAAGGCAACACGTGCTTTTCGGAGTATGTTCCCTAGCGTTCAACAGGCGACATGTGCTTTTTAAAGTGCGTCCCCTAGTGTTTACAGGTGACACGTGTTTTTCAGAGTGTGTCCTCTAGTGTTCACAGGCGACACATGCTTTTCAGAGTGTGTCCCCTAGTGTTCACAGGCGACACATGCTTTTCAGAGTGCGTCCCCTAGTGTTCACAGGCGACATGTGCTTTTCAGAGTGTGTCCCCTAGTGTTCACAGGTGACACATGCTTTTCAGAGTGTGTCCCCTAGTGTTCAACCGGTGACACGTGTTTTTTATAGTGTGTCTCCTATTGTTTGTGCCTATGGTATACATACAGTAGCTACGAAATGCAATATTGCCTTCAACAAGAAATTGTGTCCTCAGTATCAGCATTATCTCACAAGCGCAACAGCTTATCATAGATTAGCATTTGAATTTACTCAGCTGTGCTCCTTTGCATATGTTACATGATGTTTGACCGTCACAACATCCCTAAGTTTCCTGTGATATCCTGATTATAGACCAGGAAACGGGCTTTAAGATTTTAAGTAACATGCGTTAGGGCACATTGCAAATAATGAAGCCAGGACCCCAAGCAAGCATTCTCAGTGCAAGTATTTCAGAATGGAGCAACTCCCTACTCCATGACGGTGTCCTAGAAACTGGCTGCCACCTCTGTGCACTTACTGCTGCATCATCTGCCTCTGTCTCATATAATACCTGAATGCACACAGAAGTGCTCAAGAATTCAAAAATCAAGTCAGATTTTAGAGTGTTAAAACTGATGAGGAAACTTTTCAAAGATGTTCTTATATTCATCATATATTCAAGACGTGACTGCACCACCCACAGCAATCTAAGATTGTGTATGGTTTCCTGACTCTGGCCTACAAGATCTTTTATGCATTTCACTCAGTCACCATCTCCAAGGCTTACAACTGACCGACCAAATCAGGAAGCTTTTGAGTGAAATGAGGGGGATATTAGGACAGAAAGCACAACCTGGTCTATCCCAGTCTAAACCAGATGAGTTTCCCCTCTTGTGACGCCTTCAAGACCCACAAAAATACAACACTAAGCAAAAACAAACAAAAAAAAATGGCTTGAATGTACCAAAGAGACAAAAAGAAAAAAACAAACAAAAAAAATGAACATGTTAAAGTTAAACTGTTGTATGTTACAAACTGCAACTCAATTCTACTGATAATACTTAGCAAATATTTCTGTCCTCTTTACCTCGGCCTGCATACCTTGAAGAACTGATCCCTAATATCTCACTGTCTTCATCACTGGCAATTCTCTTCTTGAACTGACTTTTGTTTCCTGACTATCCCAAACTACTTTTTGCTTTAGGGACATCACATTTGCTGTTTATTTTGTAGGAATACCTTAGCCCTAAATCTTCACATGAATTTTCTTTCATCTTTCATTGTCTCTGTTGAAGTTTTCCACAAAGCACTTATTTGCATAACCTGGAACCATGGTTCCCACTTGTGATTTACTGTGCCTATTTCATAGCTAGAATGTAAGTCACATGATTCATATCCTTTTTATTTACTACAGTATCCCCAGAGCATAGAACACTGCACAGGACTCTCTCCATAAAGATTTGGTGTGCAAATGAATGAGAAATTGACAAATGATGAAGGAACACATAAGAATGGCCAATGATCAGGTAGATAATGTAATCATATTTATTATAGTTCAACTTAGTTTTCAGCTGTGTCTGCAATTTATGGTTATTTCTGGATGAGACTAATAGGTTTTAAAATTATCACAGAAATTCCCAATTTGATCCAATGGCCTATTGAATTATTTTCTTGGGTTGTTTGAATAGATTGGATCAATTGTCTTGCAGTTGTATCCACATTTTAAATAAATGGAGCCAACTCCAAATGAAGGATCCTTTCTAGGGCCCAAATTTTCTTCAATCATAATGAAACTGCCTTAAGCCAAATATCAATTGGCAAATATTCATTCATCTTCATCCCATGGGATCCTAATGTAGAAATTATTCTTCATCAAAAAGAAATAGCCAAGAAAAAAGAAGCTACAAATCTACCACACCAAAAAAAAAAGTTTTATATTAGCTACATAAAAAATCTTCATCTAATAATGTTTACACAGACATATTTAAGTGATTTATTTTATCTTTTGTCATTTTCGTTGACCCTGCTTCTCTTCTTATGCCTCCAGGTCAAACTCACTACCATGAATGAAAACAATGAAACCTTGTCCAGTGGCTTTACCCTCATGGGGCTCTTCACTCACGATGAAGGCTCAGGATTCTTTTTCGGTGTCATTTGTGCCGTCTTCTTCATGGCCGTGATAGCTAATGGGGTCATGGTCTTCCTGATTAACATAGACCCTCATCTCCACACCCCCATGTACTTCCTCCTCAGCCACCTCTCCCTCATTGACACATTCTACATCTCCACCATTGTGCCCAAGATGCTGGTAGATTATCTCGTGGGCCAGGGGACCATCTCTTTCATCGCCTGCACTGCTCAGTGCTTTCTCTACATGGGCTTTATGGGGGCTGAATTCTTCCTGCTGGGGCTCATGGCCTATGACCGCTATGTGGCCATCTGCAACCCACTGCACTATCCTGTCCTCATCAGCCAGCGGGTCTGCTGCATGATCCTGGCCAGCTCTTGGTTTGGCGGGGCTTTGGACAGTTTTCTCCTCACCCCCATCACCATGAGTCTCCCGTTCTGTGCCTCTCACCAAATCAATCACTTTTTCTGTGAGGCACCCACCATGCTGAGGCTGGCCTGTGGGGACAAAACCGCCTATGAAACAGTGATGTATGTGTGCTGTGTTGCAATGCTGCTGATCCCCTTCTCGGTGGTGACTGCATCCTACACCAGGATTCTCATCACAGTGCACCAGATGACATCGGCTGAAGGGAGGAAGAAGGCCTTTGCCACCTGCTCCTCACACATGACTGTGGTGACATTATTCTACGGGGCTGCCTTGTATACGTATATGCTTCCCCAAGCCTACCACACCCCAATCAAAGATAAGGTCTTCTCTGCCTTTTACACCATCCTCACCCCCTTATTAAATCCTCTCATCTACAGTCTGAGGAACAGGGATGTGATGGGTGCCTTGAAGAGAGTTGTGGCAAGAGGTTAAGGGACCTGTGGTGTGAGGAGGAAAGAATTCTGATCGTCTAAAACCTCCACATCCTGTTCAGGCATATATGGGCCTGCATCAAGGATACCATGGATAATGCTGACAGGAACTGACAATACCAGCTGTGCTAGAGGGTGTATCCAACAGTACTTCCATCCAAAATGTGAAGATGCTGTAACAGTCACACACAAATAATGCCAGAGTTCTAGAAACACCACTCGTGTTTATTCTTTTGTTTCTACCGATTCCAAGTCTTCTCTCATATCACTTCTCCGATTGCAGTTCGTGTATATGAATGCCCCCAAATGTTGAGTTAACATGACATATTCTGCCCATCTTCAATGGCTCCATAAGAACTAGTGATTTTGACTATATTGTTTAAACAATCCATCAGTTGGCTTATCAAAGATGTAGGGATGTCAAGGTTCGAAAGACATATGAAAGAGACTAAACTGTCATAAAACTGTAAAAGAAAAATCTACATACTTACACCGAGATTTAGAAAATCCAAATATCTCTTCTTTGAGTAACAACTGAAAACACTCCTCCTTTATCTACATTTGGAACTGAAAAAAATGAATCTTGTGTTTTGTAGAAATGCCAAGACTAAACCTTTATGAGGGAGGGAGTCTGTGATGTTATTTTTTTAATATGGCAACTAACTGTTACATTGGAAGACACAGCAAAAGGTACTTGAGAAAAAAAAGTCCTATTAACTAGCAGTTTCTGTAATCACTTTTCAGCTTCTTTAATTCACTAGCATTTTTAGACTCTGGGGATCCCTGTGTAGATGTTAGTGTTGTTGGAGCTGTTTCTATCAACTTTTCTCTTTTAAAAAAGTAGTGGACAGCATATTTTTCCTTCTCTGTAGCACTGGCTTTTGCATTTGATAACATTGCAAAGTGGGCAGGAAATACCCAGCTTTTCATCTGAAAATTAGAACTGGAAACCCCTTGTAAATGACTTAGTGTCATGAGCGGTGCAAGGTTAGAAATAACCAGGACCACAAACACTCGTGTCTTTCCACAATGTCAGGATTTTCTCGATGCTGTTTCAATCACAAAAGCCAGTATGAGCTACATGGAGTTCCCAAGCGGGCAACTCCCCTTAGTACTTCTCATTCACTTGGTAGTCAGAGCCGCGGGCACAGACTCAAGCCACTCCACAAGTCAGTCAATATTGCACATCATACATAATGAGTCCTCTGGTGAGAACTGATCCTACTTTGAGCTGCTGAAGACCTGCTCTCTGACAGTTACAGAGTCCTCCCCTGAGAACTGATCGTGGAAGAGTGTGCTTGTTTGAGTCCTTATCTGGTTGGATACAGTCTTTCTTTTTTAATTTGTTTGGTAGACAACACATCTTATCCTTGTTGGAAAAGTGCTCTATGAAATATAAAATAGAGTCTTTTCTAAGATGGAGTTGGCTATGTCAAGGGTGTTCCATACACTTAGTATGATTTCATTTAAGTGGCTAAGAACTGGAGAGAAAATGTTTGGCCTAAATTGTAGACACAGTAGTAAAAACCAGGACCACACCCCAAACCCCTCAGGCCACCTCTACCAGCTGCTGTGCCAGGCTTTGTACTGTCATTGGTTTAACAAAATCCAAGATGGGTTCAGGGATGTTCTGCAGGCACTGGAGACGGTGGGTGAAGGAAACGTTGCCTCACCTCCTTTTGTACTGAAAAAAGCTGCTGGGTATTTGACACAATATTTAGCCAAATAGAACAGCTCAGCTAGGTGTTGGGCTGAGCACTTAATCAAGAAGATAGACCTGGTCTTGCTGAACTGAGCAGGGTTTTCAGTTGAAATCCAGGAACAGCTTTTCCGAGGCTCTTCAGCTGGAGGCTCGACATCTCCTCAATCTTGTCAGACTGTCTTGGAGAACACTATGTGCCAGATAGCATGAGGAGAATTTCCAACCAAGAAGATGTTGAGGTACAAAACCCACAAGTCAGAGAGAAGCAGGGGGCTGGCCCATAAGAACAGGTCATCAGTTTCAGCTCCACATAAACACTATGGGAATTTCTGCCAATCATTCAATGCTTCTGAGGACCAACTTTCCTTTTTATAAAATTTGATTTAATACTTACATTTTTTCTTGTAAGATTTTAAAATCAAGTAAAATGATGAATGCAATAAAACCTTATAAATGCTAGTCATTATTTCAGCTATTCTTTGAAAAGGTAATTGACTTTTGTATTGTTTTTACAATTTCTTTCATTTCTATCAATCCGTTACACACAAAAGAACACTCTATTGTACAGTCACTTTGCAATACAGTTTGACAGTTTCTTACAATATTGACCATAATCTTACCATATGATCTGGCAATTGGGTTTCTCGGTATTAACTCTGCTGATTTGGAAACTTATGTTCATAGTAGATTTTTTATACATTCCAAAACATAGAGTTAATCAGAATGTCCTTCAGAAGTTAAAAGGATAAAGTGTGGCACATTCATACAGTGGAATATTATTTAGTGATAAAAAATAAATGATTTATCAAGCCATTGGAAGACATGGAGGAAACTTAAATGCATATTGTGAAATGAAAGAAGCTAATCTGAAGAGGCTACATACTGTGTGAATCCAGCTGCATGACATCTTGGAAAAAACAAAACTGTGGAGACAGGAAAAAGATAAGTGTTGCAAGGGGTCAGGGGGAGGGATGGATGGATAGACAGAGCACAGAGGACGTTTAGAGCAGTGAAACTATTCTATATGACACAGTAATTAATGTTACATAATATTATGTTACACGGTGCTATGCATTTGTGAAAAAAACATACAACTCTGGAACAGAAAGACTGATCCTTATGTAAAATATGAACTGTTAATAATAATGTATCAAAATTGATTCATCCACTGTAACAAATGTACTACACTAATGCCAGATGTTAACAATAGGGAAGGAGAGGGGATAAAAACTCTCTGAACTATCAGTTCAATTTTTTGGTAAACCTCACTGTTCTAAAATTTAAAATTTCATTTCAAAAGTTTTCTAACAATTACATAACTCTCTGACACTATATTTCTTGACTGGATTTCAGTCAATAAATCATTAGGGGTTCCCATCAAAGAATTGTGGTGTTTGTAGAAGTTAGGATGGGGATTGGGGATGAAATAATAAAAGTTTGTTAATCTAATTGGTCTTGTTTTGGGAGTTTTGTTATATGTTGTTTTGAAGACATGGGAGCAGTGAGGCTAATATTTCCTAGAAAGTTAGAAGAACATGGGCCAAATATTAATTAGTTTTATGCTTGGGGCATATGGTAGGAGCCCCTCATTCCAAGTTAGCATTCCTTCCCCGTTCTGCATATATAAGAAAACACTGGAAATGCATCATCTGTATATGGAAGAGGGGGAAAATGTCTATATTACCTCACACTAGAAAACCAAAACCTATTAAAAGAGGGATGCTGCTGCAGGAGAAGGCCTTTTTAGAGTGAGTGAATTTTTTTAATAAAGAATTTGATTAAGTAAAAAAACTCAAACTAAGAAGCCTAGAAGGAAGCCTACAAAACCCCATTCTGAACATTGGCTGTGGGAAATAATTTCTGACTAAATCCTCCAAGGCAATTGCAACCAAAACAAAAATTGACAAGAGGAACCTAATTAAACTAAAGAGCTTTTGCACAGCAAAAGAAACTATCAACTGGGTAAGCAAACAACCTATAGAAAGGGATAAAATAGATTTTCTAGTTTATTTGCATGGAGGTGTTTATAGTATTCTCTGATGGTAGTCTGTACTTCTGTGAGATCAGTGGTGATATCCCCTCTATCATATTTTACTGTGTCTATTTGATTCTTCTCCCTTTTCTTCTTTATTAGTCTGCCTCGCATTCTATCTATTTTGTTCATCTTTTCAAAAAACCAGCTTCTGGATTCATTGAATTTTTGAAGGGTTTTTTGATGTCTCTATCTCCTTCAATTCTGCTCTGATCTTAGTTATTTCTTGTTTTTTGCTAGCTTTTGAATTTGTTTGCTCCTGCAGGGTGTCAATTTTACATCTTTCCTGCTTTATCCTGTGGGCATTTAGTGCTATAAATTTACCTCTAAACACTGCTTTAGCTGTGACCCAGAGATTCTGGTATATTGTGTCTTTGTTCTCATCGGTATCAAATAATTTACTTATTTCTGTCTTAATTTCATTATTTACCCAGTGGTCATTCAGGCACAGATTGTTCAGTTTCCATGTAGCTGTGCAGCTTTTAGTGAGTTTCTTGATCCTGAGTTCTAATTTGATTGCCCTGTGGTCTGAGAGACTGTTATGATTTTCGTTCTTTTGCATTTGCTGAGGAGTGTTTTACTTCCAATTATGTGGTTGATTTTAGAATAAGCATTATGTGGTGCTGAGAAGAATGTATATTTTGTTGATTTGGGTTGGAGATTTCTGTAAATATCTATTAGGTCCATTTGGTCCAGAGCTAAGTTCAAGTCCTGAATATCCTTGTTAATTTTCTATCTCATTGATGTGTCTAATATTGACAGTGGGGTGTTAAAGTCTCCCACTATTATTGTGTGAGAGTCTACGTCTCTTTGTAGGTCTCTAAGAACTTGCTTTATGAATTGGAATGCTCCTGTATTGGGTGCATATATATTTAGGATAGTTAGCTCTGCTTATTGCATTGATACCTTTACCATTGTGTAATGCCCGTCTTTGTCTTTTTTGATCTTTGTTGGTTTGAAATCTATTATCATCAGAAGACTAGGGATTGTAACCCCTGCTTTTTTTTTTTATTTTTTTTTTTGCTTCCACTCGCTTGGTACATCTTCTCCATCCCTTTATTTTGAGTATATGTGTGTCTTTGCATGTGAGATGGGTCTCCTGAATATAGCACACTGATGGGTCTTGACTCTTTATCCAATTTGCCAGTCTGTGCCTTTTAAATTGGGGCTATAGCCATTTACATTTAAGGTTATATTGTTATGTGTGAATATTGAACTGTCATTATGATGCTAGCGGTTATTTTTGCCCATTAGTTGATGCCTTCTT